AACAGCTACCTTGCGGCTAAACGACTAAATTTCAGAGCGCTCACAACTCAAGTCATCGAAGGACAGACGCAGTTGCCAGTTTGCAGGTAATTGTAGGCCAGCATGAAAGTTATTTCGATACCTTCCAATTATGTTGGCCGGTTCATGGGGATGGTGTGGATGTTCCCAGATTTTCCTTAAGGTCTAGAAATTGCTATCATTTGCGGTTGTCGTTTCTTCAGGAGAATCCTCGGGTTTTGCTTAGACTACTTCAGCTGTATTCAGTGAATATATACAGTGAATTACGGGGATTGATGAAGGTTTTTTCAAATTGAAAATGAGTTGCAAAGGGACTTCATTACGCAGGTTCCGGCTTTTTCCGGGTTTCTCCGCCCTCTATTGATCCCGTACCGGCTCTCTGCCGGGAAAGAGATAGGCAGAAAACGGTGGTTGAGCTTCATACGGTACGAGACACTAATTGCTTTAGCCAGGGAATGGACTCTTCGACGGGGGGAACAAAAAGGGTGAATGGTGAGTGAGGGACGGTATGGTATTCCATCGGACTGCAGCCAATCGTCAATTAGTACTTTTGAGGTCACGAGTTTTCCGGAGTAAAAAATAATTTTTTATCCGGGTTTTCCTTCTCAAGGGGGTTACTGTAAATGGTTATCGGTATTTTACCGGACTTAAGGTTGGTTTACCCCACCTGGGAAAGATTTCCATGAAGCTTTTCCAGATACGATATTCTTTCTGATGGCCCAAACGGCATACCGCTAAAATACGGAAAGGTCGGCGAGACCGTCTACCATAAATGGACGTGCGTATCGGAATTAACTGATGTCTACTGTATGCGTGTACACTCGTGTACCGTTTACGATGGTCAAGGTGGACCTCCGGTTACCGTACTCGACGTTAATGGGTGGGTCTCAACACGAACAGCAAATAACCTCGAAGTTTCTGCAATATCTTTTACAGATGTTCCGTGGATGGAGTAATCCTGCAAAATCTTGATTACATAGATGATTTGACGGCTGGGAAATCGGCTCAGGTCAGGCTTCTCTACGATTCTTTCCCGAACTGGATGAATAAACAAATAAACAGAGAGTACCTTTTTCTAAAATTGTTTTCAGGTGTTCAAATTTGCTGACAAAGCTGGTTTATACTTCAATTGCCAGATTCAGCTGACCATCAAAGACAAGCAGTTTGGATGCAGCAATGCGGTCGGTGTTCCCTGAATATTTGAAAAAAAAGCATCTTTTTTACTGCTTTGCCTTCATGGAACGGCATAGAGCAACGGATTGAGGCGGGCGTAGCCCATATGCAGCGAACGTAAGATCAAATCTCCCAGGGTAGTGAGACAATCAGGATTTCGAGCAGTTATTCACAGAAGCTAGAAAACATGATGCAAATGGCGTTATGCCATCGTTTTCCTGGATGCGCCATGTACTAGGTTGCCATTGAGTTCTGTTAGGAATCAGGATAACTAATAAGTGTGGCAAACCGATGAACATGTAGTTGATCATTAAGACCTAAAGAGCCAATAGGTGTCAATGAATCCCGTTTTTGGGATGCGCCCTGCATTTGATTCCATTCAGAATTCAGTGGTGTTCCGAATATAACTGAAACTATAACCGAAAATTGGAATTGTCACAGCCAGCCTTTTCGAACGAATTTCTTTCTAATTTTCGATTTTCCATCCTGAGTTGAGCAGATGGATTCTTTCTGGGTCTGGAATCTATCTAGCCAGCTGAGAGGAATTCGAAGTATGACAGTCCAAAGAATTCAGGAATTCTGTGTGTTGTTACGGCATTCTTTGCCGTTACGCCAGTTCCGCACGTTCAACGAAAATATTTGATGGCACCGAAAAGTTTTATTTGCTCCAGATGTCCCTAGTTGAATGGAAACGATCAGATTAGTCCTCTAGTAGGCTGCAGATAAGATCTTGAAAGGCTATTTGCCGGTGAGCCTGTTCCGGTCCTCCGGTAGCCATGTACTTTACAAAAAAACCATGTTCTAAGCACTTAAGCACTGCGTCACAGCCTGTTTTTTGAAGTACAGTTGACACCTCATCAGAGCAAAAACATGGCGCCGATTCTTATCGTGGCGGTCCTTGTCTTCGTCTTTAGGCTCAGGGTCGAGCTTGTCTGATGGAACCTGCAAGAGAAGCGATGGAATTCGTTCAGTTGAAAAGAGAGGAGGGGAGGGCGACGGGAAGGAGGGACCACATTTTTCGAGAGTTTCTGGTAGATGAACAGTTTTAGCTGTATTTTGCATTTTCGAATGTTAGCTAGGCATGGAAATAATAAGGCCTTGAGAGCCAATTGCTTTTTATGAATCCTGTTTCTGGGATGCGCCCTGCATTCGACTCCATTCATAATTGTAGAGGTGTTTCGAATGTCTGGCCTGAAAAATGACTCGCGGTGACCAGTCGATGCCCGAGTCAGTACTTTTGTACACCCAGACGAGTCTGGTACCAATTAGCCAGCCCCAGAGATGGAAGGCCTGGGCGCCATGAAGGAAAATGTTTCAATACCCAGTTGAACGATACGGTAGCCACCGCTGAACATTTCCGCATGCCGTGGCAATTCGGGGAGAAGTACTGTCACCCGAAATGACATGATTCTCTCTGTGATAGTTACTATTGTTATAGTTACGAATGTGGGCGGAGTTTGATTTGTGGGGCGGGGTTTCCGCAGATGGGAGCTGTAAGTGACAGATTCGTGGCTGCTTGTATAACAGACATTCTCACATCTATGCGTGGCCGTTGGAGCCCTTACATTCGCTTTACCAGATCACCCGGATACACTCGCCTGGAAGCACCTGTGGGTGTAGCCTAGATGTGTATCGAAAATGTAAGTTTATGCCCTCAGAAAAAGCAATCCATATAATTGAGAGCGATAGGAATGTCGGTTCTCATTCGTTCTCCGGAATACGCCATACGCATCGATTTAAAACAAGTTGAAGATGTATTTGGT